CCAGATAATCCTTTACAGTGCTTCAATACTGTGATTTTACGTATGCTCGGAACCATAACCATAACACGAGGCCAAATGGAGTATAAACCAGAGCGCAGGGGGTAACTGTCACATTTCCTGTCCGCCAGCACCTTTTGAACATCCTTCCTCTGTTTAGAGGATGTGCCACCTTGTGAGTCCTGCCTCTCCCAAGAGGACACTAAAAGCTCACTTGCCCAGCCTTCCTTTCGGTCGGGAATCAGCCCTCTGACTTGGGTCCTGCCTGTGAGATACACCTTTGAGAAATTCGTTCAGAGGTGGGGGACACGAGGCAACAGGTAGGTTGTCCTGGCTGTGTGTTTTGGGGGGAGGCTGCGGGGGCAGAGTTCCTGCCTTCTGGGCTCCCTGGCAGCCTCCCCTCGGAGCAGTCGGCGCTGGGCAGGAGCAGCAAGGGGGCTCAGTGTGGCTCCCCACGTGTGGAGTATGGAAGGAACGGGAGGCAACGGTGTTTCACTGTGGAAAGAGCAAGGTTTTGTGGAAGGATCACAGACTTGATCCAAATCCTGCTGCCACTCACCAGCTGGGCCCCTTGAAACACCTGCATAACCGCTGGAACCCCAGTTTCACCATCTTTAAAGTGGTCATTGTCCAAGGTTACTCACAGCCTCTAAGAGTAGGAGTTTTTAGTTGCCACAATCCCCCAGGGACATCTGCTGGTGTGTTTTGCCTCCAGATGACTGGGTTGACATGAGGCTTGAAATTATGGGTAAAATTAAGTTAATTTATAGGGTTGCTTGAAGATAAAACTGAGATATAAGATTAGTAACAGAGACAAAAAAGTCAACTAACATAGGGCAATCTTTTCCAGATGTATCCACAGGCCCAGGGACATTACTATCCAGTCAACTCTTGGTTTCGGCTCAGGTCATCATCTCCTGATGGTGGGATCTAGCCCTGCATCAGGCCCCACGCACAGTGGGGAATCTCCTTGAGATTCTCTCCCCCTGTCCCTTCCTCCCAAACCCCCCCATCACCTCCTTCACCTGCTCTTTCTCTAGAGTGGGTAAATAAATAATTTCTTAATTTTTAAAAAATATTTTTATTTGTATTTTTAAAGATTTTTCAATCTTGAAATTTTAAATTTTGATTTAAATTTTAAATCTTTCTCTAGAGTGGATAAATAAATCTTGTATTTATTTATTAGAGAGAAATAGCAGGAGAAAGCATGAGTCGGGGGGGGGGGCGTTGGTAATGAGAGGGAGAAGCAGGCTGCCTGCTGAGTAGGGAGTCTGAAATGAGGCTTGATCCCAGGAAGCTGGGAGTATGACCAGAGCCAAAGGCAGACGCTTAACTGACTGAGCCACCCAGGTGCCCCTAAATATTTTTTTAAAAGAAAGAATATTGAAAGAACTAATGGGCAGAAATAATTGCACTTGAAAATTGATTTGAATACCTAGAGTTCTTTACAGAAACTCTCAGGAGCTTAGGAGCTTCTAAGTACTCATGAAATTAAAGAAATATACTCTTTCTTGTGCAAGTCCTCATCACCTGGAAATAATGCTATAATAAAGTCACAAAGAAGCAAACAAATGGGTCTCCCACCACCCTCCTTTTTCCAACTGTCCTCCCTGACTCCTGATACCAGGTGGGGAAGCATTTTTCTAAGTTTCTCAACTGTTACACTGCTACCATGTATTTATTCTAATTTCCTCTTCAAGTTTATATTTCCTATTCCTGCCTCCTAAATATGGGTTTTCCTGAGGCACAGGCCTTGGCCTTCTGCTCCTCTCTATATATACTTTCTCCTTTGGAAAGATCATATACACTGATGATCTCAACTGTTGTTTCTTCACGGATGACTCACACATTTACATATTTAGGCATAACCTCTCTTTCTTCAGGTTTAGTCCCGTATTCCTAACATGCCGTAACAAATTCTACAAATCTTTCTGAGCACAGTGCTAACTCCTGCTTTAAATTAACTCACCCTAGGGGGTCCCTGTGTGCCTGGGCAGCTCAGTCAGTTAAGCCTCTGACTCTCGGTTTCAACTCAGGTCATGATTTCAGGGGTGTGGGGTTGAGCCCCATATCTGACTCTGCCCTTGCATGGAGTTGGCCTGGGTTGAGATTTCTCTCTCCCTCTGGCCCTCCCCTGCTCTCGCTCAAAGAAATAAAACCCACTCACCCTATGGCTATCCCTTCTCAGTCCCAATTTCCCAGGTTTACAGGGCTACAGTTTTCCCTGATTCCTCCTAATCCTTTTCGCCCACTGTCCACTCCGTTACTAAGGAGAGTGTTAACTCGAGTTACTGCAACCTTGCTCTTCCCCTCTCACCTTTACTATCCCACACAGACACTACCAGAGCTCCTCATCCATAGTGTCCTAGCCACTTTTGCTGGCTCAATGTTTATAAAACATGGCTTGGAACACTCACAGCTCCACATTCATTCCACATTTATTGAGGGCTCGCTTTTGACAAAGCACAACATTACACATTCCAGAACGTAGGAATGATAAGGGTCTGTTTACAGTCTAGTATGGGGAAGAGTTGTACACAATTTTAGTTCAAAATTAGAAAGTGGTACTATGTGAATGAATAAAGAATGGTCCAGAAAGTAGGATGGCCATTCAGCAGGAAAGAAAATTTATTTCTAGATGGAGAGGTCACATTTATCTGGCTTTAAAGACTGGACAGAATCTCAGCATCCTTACAAGATGGGAGGGGAGGGTATTCCAAGGAGAAAAAGACAGGAGCGGTCTTTAGAAAGGTAATGGGTAATTCATGCAAGAGGCGCTTCCTGCGACCTTGCCGAGGGCAAGGAAGAACGAAAGGAGAACAGCAAAAAAATGAAGTTAGAGTTTTTAAACTAAGTTAATAAATCTGGCCTTTAGCCTACATGCAACAGGGAGCCAGGGAAGATTTTTGGTCACAGTGAAGATCACAGCAGCTCTGTCAGCTGGGGAGCGACGCTGGAGGAAGGGACCTGGGAGAAAAGCCGTGCGTTTTCCCCGTTCAGGGCGGGTAATGGGAACGTGGAGCGGGTGGACGGTGGGTAAGGAGAGTGGATGCCGGCACTCCTGCAGAGGTAGGATCCACAGAACTCGTCAACGGACGGCCGTCAGTCAAGGGGGGGAAATGTCAATTGCGGACATCCAAGTGTCCAAGTCGAAACCGGTGGACACGCTAACAAAGCGGGTGCGCCGTCTGGAAGGACGGGGCCCGGTTACATGTGGGAAATCCCGCGGGCACGACCGCAGAACGTCCGGGAAGGAACGGCCAAGACGCTTGGCGGTCGCTGAGCGCCGACGAAGTCAGCTGGTGCAGAGGGGTGTTTCGGCAAAAACCGGCTCAGAACGGACGACGGACACCGTCCTCCCGCCGGGCGAGGGGCGTGGCACCGCCGAGGCCCTCTACTCGAGCCTACCGTCCCCGGCAGCCCTCGCCTCGCCGGAAGTGGCCTCCCCCCTTCTCTCCGCATATTTCCTGAACGCCTGTCCCCACCCGTCACCGGCGCCCAGCCAGGGGGACACTTCACACACACATATCCCAGGGAGCGAAGGCTGAGAGCGCCAGCGAATCTTGCCCTGCGGCTCACCGCCAGCGCGGTCCGCACGTCGCCCCGATTACCCGCGACTGCGAAGAAGCCGCAAGGGGAGCCCGATCTCTCGCGATACCTGGTGGGCCCGCCCCCGCGCCTGTCCGCCGGAAGCGGAAGTGGGGCGAATGTCGGCTTGTCGTTAGAGTGGCTGCGTTACCTTGGAGAGCTGAAGTGGCGGGCGATCTTTTGGCCGCGGTGTGGGCCGGAGGTGGGTGTTCCTGCGTGTGTGGCGGGCGCGGTGCGGCCCGAGAGGGATGGACGCGGCCGTCGGCGGGCCGGTCGCCGGTTGGGGAGGCCACGGGGAGCAGGGAGCCGGGCGGGCCGAGCCGAGGGGCCCCACGGAGCGGGAACGCCTGTCGGCCTCCACCGGCCGTCGCGGCCGCGGCGCTGAGGGGCCCCGGGAGGGAGCAGGCCTGTCAGGACCGTGGTGGGCAAGCCCTGCCGGGCCCTGCTGGCGGTCTGCGTCCGTCTCCCCGGCAGCGAAGGCCCAGGCAGGCGGTCGCGTCCGGCGCCAGTCGGCCGCGGGCAGCTGCGGGTGGTGTCGGAGGACGAGTCTGAAGGGCGGCCCCCTCCTGTCCAACGAGAACGGAGCTCGTTCCCGGTAGCGCTCGGACTAGCGTACTGGTTTAGGAGGCCCGGCGGGGCGCTTGTAACCAGCCCCCCCCATTCTTCTGAGGGTTCCTTGGAGGGAATCAAGCGGATTTTTGCCTCCTTCAGATCGAAACAGCGTAAACATTAACGACTGCGGCTGCCTCAGATCGCTCGGGTAAGTAAAGCTCAGACCCACCGGAATTCTGTTTAACTCTCTCAGGAGCGCGCACGAAGACGCTTGCCCACCTGTGGGAGGGGTCGTGGGAGTCGCACTGTGCCTTGCCCTATGACCTCTCCTCCCTGTCTGGGGGGTGTGGGCCGCCCTTCTGAGATTCCCGGGTTCCTGTGGAAGTCCAGGCGCGGTTTTCCGTAGCCGAACTGACGACACACCAGCCAGCCAGTCCCAGACACACTGGGAGAAAGAGAACGCGTCGGGGTGGTGCCTCTTGCACCCGCACGGCCGTCTTGGTGTCGGTTTGCTGGGGTAAGGGCAGGAGTGTACACACTGGCGTATGTTTGAGGGATCCCGGGGAGAATCAAGGAAGACGCGGTCTTCCACCATCACGTGTGTTTGTCAAAGGTAAAGTAACCCAGGAAGAAAAGTAACTGTCGGATGTCAGGCGAGAGGGCGAGATTCAGTTTAGTTTTAGCATGTCCCACACGCCCGAATCATAAAGCAGGCTTTAGGGGTCTTGAGGCGGAGAGTAGAGCGACGAGAAGATGAAGTTAGGGTTAGGAGAGGCGGGGGATGGGAGTACGGACCACCGCTTGGCGGAGGAAGACGGCAAGGGGGGTACCTCCAGAATACTGATGGGGCTTCCAGGCCGTGCAGAAGGATGAAGAGGAGTGAACTCTTGGTCCCCTCGCTTCTCAAGGATGAGGCTCTTGTGGCCTGAGCCAAATCTTTCTCAGAGGTAGAGGGTCTCTGAGAGTGTGGGTGCAGAAATACTACTCGGCCTGCGGAACCCAGCTGATAAGAGGTTTCAGGGTTGGTTTGTTTTTTTTTTTTTTAGCTGGTAGATAGTATTTATCATATTTTTCATTTTGTTCCAGAGTAAGACTACATTGGATGCCTCTATAAAGTACCCCAGAGTTGAGTAGCTGTTCATTTAAATGCCTATTTGCCTTTCCATTTTCACATCTTTCCTGTATTTTCAGTTTCTCTTTCTTACTGGTTTTCTTTTCCTATAAACAACCTCAGCGACACGGTCCTGGGAAGGCTGGAGGTCCTCATCCAGTAACCCCTTCGCTACTACTCTTTTTCTCTCGTGTTCAGTGAAGCATTTCGAAAGCTCACTCTATAATCCCCGGAGATTTCTAGTTCCTTAGCTTCCAGTTACTTCTCAATGAACTGCCGTCCTGCTTCAATCCCTAGTACTCTAACATAATGACCTCCTGATGGCTAAGTCCAGTTAATTTTCTCCTCTTGGTTCTGTCACTGTGCCATTCCACACTGAGGACCATTTGCTCTATTCTCCTGCCTCCTGCGGGAAGCTCCTGTGCATCTGATCTGTGTGTTTTCTCCTCTTATCCCTTCTTTATCTCCAACTTCCCTATAGGTCAGTGTGCTCCAGGATTCTGTCCCTTGATACACTTCTTACTCCACAGCCTTCCTGAGAAATCTCATCCACTCTCACAGCGTTAACCACCAACAGAATCGCTGACGTCTCCCATATGTATCATCACCCTAGTTCTCAGTCCCACAATGGGTAACTGGGAGCTGGTTCTCCCATGTGGATGTACATCCCATAACTAACCTCAGACTCCATATCCTCACCCAGCCTTTTTCCTGTGGTTCCTATGGCACCACGGCCCATCCGGTCATTTGCCAGAAGTCTGAAAGTTACCCTTTATACCTGCCCCCGCCAACATCTAGTCCTCAGTGCATTACTCAGTGTAGTCCAATGTAGTCAGTCCCTTAATTTCGAATGGAATTCCTACCAAACTGCATGCGCTGTTGCTGCCTCAGATTCAGCCCTCCGGCCCTGCGGCAATCTGCCGTTGGTCTGTCCTCACGAGTCTCTTCCCTACCCTGTTGGCAAAGAGGTCCTTCTAAGTAGTCAGTTTGCCCTAGAGGCCTCCCTGCTTAAACCACTGGGCTGAAGACTTCCCCTTTCCTGCCAGAATAAGGGCAGGGTTGTTTGCCTGGAGCACAGTTTTTCACAGTTTGGTCCCCGCCCATTTTCCCAGCTTTGCTTCTGGACATTTCACTGTTCCTCCCTCAGTATCTGCACCAGGTCTGTCTCTTACACTAGACTGAGAGCTCTTTGGGGGGGCGTGGAGGCCCCAATATATGGTTCATCTTTATATCCCAGGTGCCAGTTAGCACAATGCCTGCGGTCTGAAGTCAGGAAATACTGACTGAAGCATCTAAAACCATCTTAAATTTAAAAGTATAAAGACTTTTACGCGTGCCTTTGCCTAAATTGTTCATTTCTTGGTTTTTCCCTGTCGAGTGAGAGAGTATTCGATTTTTAAAAATTCTCATAGAAACCTATTAAAAACTGTGCAGAATTTCAGGATGACAGACACTTCTGAAGCTGTTCCCAACTTTGAAGAGATGTTTGCCAGCAGATTCACAGAAGCTGACAAAGAGTACCAGGACTACCTGCAACGCCCTCCTGAGCCCCCGCCGGTCGTCGAGGAATGGACTAGCAGAGCTGGTGGGAACCAGAGGAGCAGAGGCAGTCGGTATGTGTTACTTCAGGAGACGCAGGTGGCTGATGTGGGAGAGGACGGCTTTGCTCCGTGTGCCCGTTGAGGCCAGGGAGGCCAGGGACCAGGGTTTCTGTTCAGAACGTATACCTGGTGCCTAGTCACTGCCTGCACGCAGTGAGTGGCTGGTAAAGATTTACTTAAACGTTTTGTCAACCCCGTGTGTTTTTTTCCTTGCTGTTCAGTTGTATATGTGTTTAATGTTGTTTTTTAAAATATTCTTTCTGTAGACTAACATTTTATTTTCTCTGCCAATATAGTCTATGAACCTAGAGTTTTCTACAGAACTTTGTGCTAGGTTCCATAAAGAAGGCCTTGTCTTTGGTTTTACTTTAAGAAAGTTATACAGTGGGATTTCTTCTATTTCATAATTCAGAATAGCTCTTGTACAATCGAATAGACCTCAGTTTGATACAGAACTGTCCTATTGTTGTGAGTTTTGTGTTGTGGTCTGCCTATTTCTCTGCAAAGTGTATCCAGTATAATACTGGAAGAATGATTTAAATCTTAGGAAAGTTATGAATAACTGTTGCTACATATAACATTCTGCAGAGAAAAGTGTTTTTTACACTTTTGTTTATGGAATATGAGGTTGAGAAATGAAATGCAGCGGGATAGATTTGTCATTGGCATTTTTTTAAAAGGGAAGTATAAAAATCTTTTTGTTTTGTTGTTGTAGGTTGCAAGATAACAGACAGTTTAGAGGTAGGGATAGCAGACGGGGGTGGCCAAGTGACAATCGATCCAATCAGTGGCACGGACGATCCTGGGGTAACAATTACCCGCAGCACAGACAAGAACCTTACTACCCCCACCAGTACGGACACTATGGTTACAACCAACGGCCTCCCTATGGTTACTACTGATGGAAACGTCAGCAGCTTTTTGTGAAATCATTTCCTCTGTTAACATGACAAGTTTGTGTGTATCTTCTGTTGGTCATAGTTTTATATCTGATTTCAGAGAGTGGATTATAAACTTTTTAGAACTTGTGACTTAAAATAAAAGATCTTACTAGAGATGTGCTGGTTCAGTATTCCCCTAAAAAGGTTGTGGATTTCATTGCCTGACTTCTACCTCAGATTCTTCTTTGTTTCATGACTTAATAGTGCTTTGAACTTTGTGTCTGTGTTCCTTGTTTGACCTCCAGGAGTTCTTTGTTTTACAGAGAAATAAAAATTATAAAGTGGAAAATGCTTGATTTTACTTTGTAAGATAAGGAAGTATCCATATACTTAGATTTTCTCATTCCCAAATTTTTACAGTGGTTAGTACAGTCAACTCGCGAATGCACAACTATGCGCACTTGTAACGTGTTGTACATGGCATCAGCAGTTGAAGGTAAAACGACTGTAGATGCTGCCTTTGGCTTTTGTTGTTGTGACTGTGGTACTTTTTATCATTACTCCAGGTAAGAGTGACGTCCACAATCACTTTGGTCTCTTTTTAGAGGATGTCAAAAATAAAACCTTAAACTGGGGAAGGGAACATTCTCAGTTTCAGTGTCTTGAGCTAGTGGTGGGTGAGATTGGGGCACACAGTCATTTTGTTACAAACCATGAGGCTTTTTGCTAAGTTAAATTAGATCAAAATTCACATGTTCTAAAAGAAAGTTTAACTCTGTAAATGTTCTCCTTTCCTTTTCGGTAGTGTGTATATAATGCTGCATTCCAACTATGTACTTTTATGTACTTATGTGAATTGACTGTACAATGTTATATTCACTTCCAAATGTGCATCTTCGCTGCTTCCTCTCGTACAAATACCGTGATGCCGGAACTTCCTCTCAGACCGATCAGTATATTCCAGATCATTTTAATGGCCATTTCAGTGCTTTCATTCAAATAAAGTACTTACAAGATTAAGCAATGTCTCTCTCAAGTTTTGGCAGTTAGACCATTCATTAATGTGATGAACCTTTTGGTATTTTATTGCTGTTTCCTTTATATCTGTTGAAAAGGCTTATTTGGCTTAAGAGTAATATTAAGAGTAGAAGCTTCATCATAGGGAAAAGGAGTATAAAGGCAACTCCCTAAACCTACCTTCTGCTGCCTTCTCTCTTAGCACTGCACTCTAGGCCCTTGAGGTTGACTTCTCCAGGCACTACTTCTCCATGCTCTGGACCCAAATCTCCCCTCTACTCCCCTTCATGAAGAGCCGTCCTTTCAGGTAACTCTTTGATTGGAAAGGATCTAATAAATCAGGTCTTCACACTGAGATGTAAATAAAATTTTAACAGTAAGATAAGGGTTTTTCCTATACCCCTCTGATTACATCAGTAGGCCCAGTGCTGTTACATCTCTTTCTTGATACTGCAGATATGTAGCCTAGAGAGTCCAGAATGGCCTCACTGCACACCACGATTTTCTCTGCAGGCGGGTGGGTTATTAAAACTACCCATCAAGTGACAAAGCACAGGCACTGACTCACTGGGGTGGCAGCAGCCACAGCTTTAGAGCAGGACCCTCAGGGCTGTCTGCCGTGCCAGCTGCTGGCACTACGTAGGGGGACCTGTGGGCCCACGGGGCAGGGCTTGGAGTGAGGGATGGGTTTCCAAGGAAAGGTTATTTTCCAATAGTATTGAAATATTCACAGATGGCCTGAGTATCAGCCCTGCTGGAAAATACGATGAGTCATTTTAACATGAATTATTTCTGTATTCTGCATGAACAGCCCATGTGGTAGTGGTTTGTCTCTTTGTTTTTAAACAGTCACCATTAGACTCCCCTCGGAGAGGGGAGAGGAAATAAAACGGAGAGGAAATAAAAGTCATGGTTTCTGCTTCATGTGGGAGAGACTTTAAAAAATTTAAGGAAAATTCAGAGAATTATCTGAAGAAAGAATTAAAATAGTGTTAAATGGAATTAACCTCAACTAGTCTGTTGTAATAGCCTATAGCATTAAGCCTAAGGAGACCTGGCTTCCAGTCCTGTTCTTACCAGGTAGAGGACCTTGAGAAAAATCGGTTAAGCATGGAGCTTACGTGCTCACCTGTAAAACTGAGGAAAATACCCTGCCACTCTTCACAGGGTCATCATAAAAAAAGTGACTAAACATATAAGAGCTTAAGATAGAAACTAGGGCTTCGGACCATTAACCCCCCACTGGCACATAACTGGTGCTGCATGGACATTTGCAGAGTCAATGGGAGGGAAGTATTGGTAAATTTATAAAGCACAGTGTGTTTAAAGGGTATAGAGTAACTGACAGAAGATAAGGTAGAGCAGGAGACTTCTTGAGAGTAAAGATTTGTGATTCTTAAGTGAATTAATATATGAATTAGCAAAAGAAGAAATTCTGTCCTTCAGAAAAAAACAAATTTCAAATATCAAAGAAAATTTATGTAAATATTGAGCTAAACTTAGCATTTGCTGTTTGAAATTGACACATTTTAAAATGTCAAATGCTGATTATGGAAACATACCAGATTAATATCCTTTTGAGACCAGCTTGTTAGAGACTTGAGCTAGAGGTTTGGGTTTTTTTTTTTCTTTCTTGAGTGTTAGGATTTGAGGTTATCCAGAGTACTCAGAACCACGGGTCACGGTTCTGAGGACAGTTTGAACTCTTAAAACCAGATCAGAAAAAAGCCATCTGGTGAGATTTCTAGCATGGTTTTGGTTTTCAAAGCTGCATTCCTTATAATGCTCAACAGACAGGATTTAATTTTAATTTTCCCTTTGAAATTTATTCACCTAAAGGAAAATCTAGAATTTTATGATAGAATTGAGTAGTGAAATGTCAGTTTTAAGTTTAGAATACTAAAACGGAAGGAAATGATCTCTTGCCCTGAAGATTACTAGTAACACTAATTCTGAATTCCACATCTTGTTTCTAAAGATAGTTTTTTTAACACCTTAAAATTTTTCCAAGACTCATTCCCTCTGATTCATTCAACCCAAACATGGATTTGGCTGTGTATGGAAACCTATGCCCCTGGCCTTTGACTTCTTTTATTTAGTACTATTGCTTTTAGTGAAAGGCAATTTATTGTTTTCATTAGAAAATGTAGGAAATAGACTCCCAGCTCACAGCAACTTGTAGTATGATTTAATAACTTCAGTTAGCTGGGAAGCTGGCTTGTGAACGTGCTTACTTTGGTAGCATTAGACAAACAGGTATTATAAACCTGAAATTCATATAAACCTTTTCATTCACCAAAAAGCTTATTTGGGATTTGTCTTTCAGTATCTTGTATTTTAACCATGAATCATATTTGTGATATAAATGAGGATTTTGAAGTACTAGATAGACTTTGGCTAATTCTGTGTGAAAAACCCAATTATATAGGTCACTCAGTTCCTTCCTCTATATATAAATTTAGAAATGTGTGCTTTTACAATCCTCTGGCTTTTAATTTAGAATGAATTAAGGCCAACAGGAGTAAATACTCTTGACATTGGCAGGAGTTATGATGTTAATTTTTAGATTTCTACTTCAGAATTCACATGGACTCTTCGTGCTGTGTTCTGTACTATCTAAACAAAGATTTCTCTTAGCTCCGGATAAATTATTATGGAGCCAAATCAACAACTAGATTCAAATAGATTATACCATTGGACTCCAAGGTTGCGTTGGGCAAGTATCTCCTCCTCTCTAGAAGTCTAGACCTCTACTAGGACCAAGTTTTGAGGAAAATAGGGACAGTAGTGGAGATCCCTTAACCCGTGGATGTTCTGGGAGAGAATGGCTTGGGTTGAGCTGGCTGCATGGGCCTCATCGATAGGCCTGGACACTCTCAGGACGAGCCAGGGTTGAAGAAGCAGCTTCAGCTCCTGTACCACTGCGGAGGCTGCCAGGTGCCAAGAAACATTATCTGAGGAGCTGGTTACCAGTGCCCTCAGACTGGGGAAGTGGAGAGAAGTTGTGGATAACACCCCCCGGATTTTAAGATTTACAGGACAGTATGAGACAGTAAGAGGACAGGTCTTCCATCAAAACTGCGAACGTGTAATCTGACTGCCCCCTTGCAGGATTAAGTGAAAGCATTTACAGAAAGCGTGCATCACGGGGCTGGGCACATGGTAGGTTGCAGGTCTGGGTCAGCTGTGTGCGTCCGGAAGTGCAGTGGGCTGGGGGGGGGGGTACTTCTGAGCTCGACTGGTGCAAGAAATGCAGCTCACACGTCTTTCCCCAATGTCTCCATGGGCTGATGGGCTAATTCAGTTGTTTTCATTCCTGTCCCTAAGGGACACACAGATCCCCATGTATTAATTACCAGTTAGATTTTCTCTGGGTTTCAGTGACTTCTCTTGAGACAGCTTCAGAGGATTGATGTGATGATGATCTCATGGTTTTTTTCCACTGCCAGTGCCTTTAACTCCCTAACGGGTCTCCAGCCTTTGTCTGAATTACATAAATAAAGCTGCTCTCATTGCTAAAGGCCAGAGCTTTTGCATTTGAGTGTTTTCTCATTTTAAAATTTCCTTCACTGTATATGTTTGGTGTGCATACAAAATAATAAATACTGTAAAGAAGTGAAACACTACCCATCACTGCACTCATCCGGCGATATGGCCTATTGTGTACGCTGCTCTTTTACCATGCCCACACAAATATGTGTAAATTTGATAGTTTTCCTTGTTTACTAAAGTGAGATTGTATATAAATATATACACACACACATCTATCATTCTTTGTTCGTGCAACGTAACAAACAGGACTCTAGTTCAGTAATTATAGATTAAAAATTAACAGCCTAATACTCTCACGTATGGATTTTCTGTTGATTATATGATTATTCTCCAGTAGGTATACATTTAGATTATGTTTCCCCATTTTTGCTCACATACTCCTTGGCATTTTTATTTTTGTGTGTCCTATGAGGTATTCTCCAACGTAGAATATTAGGTTAAAACACCTATATTTTTAGGTAAGTGCCACATTTTCCAAAACACTGTAGCAGTTCACATTCCCAGGTGACAACATATGAATGTACATATGCGTCTCCCCTCTCCTTTCCTGGGACTTCAACTTTTTGTCTAGATGGACACGGGCGTTGT